TAAAAGTGTTTTGTGTGTTGTGTTATAAAATATGCAAACAATGTTATATTTACTTTTAAAAATTGCTTGTAATTGTATTTTGTTAGATTTTTTTATAGTTTAATTTGTAAAAGCTATTAATTTTTGCTATTGTTATATATTTAAAAAAATATCGCATGAAAAATTTCAAGTCAATTTTAACTTATTTATTTAAATCTTTACCATTATTTTATTAAAGTTGAAAGAAAAGATAAAAAAAAATCAGTTAAACTAATAATAAGATTGATTTCACTCAATTCGTCATAAAAGTTTATAGCATGTCAATCTCGAAAATGTATTACAAAGGTGGTCAACTGTGGCATGCGTACCACTATAGCGGCATTCTCAGATATGTATCTATGATATACGTTTAAGAAGTATATGTTAGAAAAAAATAAAAAAAAAACAAAAAATATCAGAGAAAAATGAAAAACAAAAAATTACTCAGTAAAAGCAACCGTACTTCACTAAAATATATTTGTTTCACTTTCTGGTTCTCTAACTGTTTATTTTTTCTTGCTAAAAGTACATTATGTTGATATTTTATTGCTTCGAGCATGTTTTTGTCCTGATAAAGATTTTATCATGATAAAATATTTTGAGTATATTCATTGGATAACTTTTTTCTTGCAAATTCGTATTCAAATAGCTAATCGAAGAACAAAAATAAAATAATACTTTAAGCTTAAAAACGAACACAACGCATACAATAATTTCTAATTAATATTTTTGTCTTTTTGATTTGTAATAATTTATTTATAAACGAATGTAGAACAAAACACAGTAAAAAACATAAACTTTATTAAACACAATCTTTTTGCTTTCAATGCATAAGAAAGTATATAAATAATGTAATGTTACGATTCTTTTTTATATTTGATTATATAAGAGTTAGACACGTCATCAAATCGAATTTCATATACATATACATATACATATACATATACATATACATATAGCATATACATATACATTTAGCACTTCAACTTGCTAAAACGAAAAAGATGGCCATTTTGTATTACTGCACCGTTCGTTTCTGCTTTGAAAAGCATGTTATAGAGCAACATAATGCTTAAAAATATATTACATGAAATGAATGTAAGATACGTATTTGGAAGACTAATAAAAATTTAGATTAATATATATGTATAAATTTTACTTTCTATCAATATAGTATAAAAATGAAATAATAAATAATTTAATAAATCAAGAGTATCATATTATAATTTTTATGTTAAACAGAACTGAGACTTTATGTTAAAAAAACCATGTTTAAAAATTAATGGATAATATAATTGTTATGTTTTATTTATTTTAAGTATTTGAACCGAAATGAAATTTGTGAATGTAACTCATGTTTATGCAGCATTTATATAATAAAAGATTATAAACTAAATAATGTATTATACAAATATATATTTATGTTAATTGAAAATTTATATCAATTGTTGATGTCATCATTCTTCAATTATCTCCATCGGGATCTTATTAATAGTCATGAAAATTTGTCCAGGGTTCTTAATAACATCTCGTCGATGAGATCACCGAGAATTCACCATCTGAATTTTTTTTTCAATTACCCCACAAACACAATAGGAATAGTAATAAGTCTTAAGCTTAAGAAATTGATTAATCATACTCGTTATTATTCTCATATTTGATTGTGATTGATTACTTTTTAAAAGCTTAAGGTTTACTACACTCATTGTGTTTGTAGGGTAATATATATAAGAAATAATATATAAGAAATCGCATAATATATAAGAAAATTAACCAATCAGAGTATAAAATAAAAGACTTTGATTAGTTGATTTTCTTACCTTACATATACACAATGAATGTAGTAAACCTTAAGTCTTACGAAATTGGTCAATTACAATCGAATTTGAGAAGAATAATAGACTATGATTGATTAATTCCTTAAGATTTAAGACTTACTCTACTACTCCTATTGTCTGCGGGACAATATTGTAACCGAAAAAGACCGAAATCTAAACAGTTACGAGCAACGATGATTGGAATCAGAACTGAAAATTGGATATAACCTCTTAAACACTGTGTGTGTGTGTGTGTGTGTGTGTGTGTGTGTGTGTGTGTGTGTGTGTGTGTGTGTAAACACATATATACACATAATATGTGTGTTTGATTAATCATTTTGATGCATATTGTACAAATTTAGTATATCAATCTTTAAATACATTGCTTAAATTAAGACAATTTAATAGAAAGTTACTAGTTAATACGCATATTAAGTAAAGTAAGTACACAAGTAAGTAAACTAGACCATTGACATTCTGAGGATAGTACACTTGCTAGAAATTATTCAACCACAACATGTGTGTTTTCGGGGAGCATTAGAAGATAATCTTTGTTACACTTCTTTTTTTATGTATATTCTTTTTTATTTAATTTTTTATTATTATTTTTTTATTCTTTTTTTATTTTTGTTTTATTTTTATTATTCCGCCACATTGCGGATTTTTCTCGGCTTCGAGTAAGCGTCAGACAGTGATAATTTCAAACTTACGTAATTCTCGGTTGTAAAAAATTAAAAACAAAAAGATACAAAAATAAAAAACTCATTTTGAAGACAAAAGAGCAAAATAAAAAATAAAAGCATTTTAAGTTAGTGTAGACAAAATTGACCAAGTAAAATTTCTTTAATACTCGTATACTGTAAATATGGCTAAAATCGTAATTTCTTGTTTATGTTACTCTAATTTTTCTAAGAAATGTGACGTGGTAGATTTCTATAAATTCTAAATACAGCATCGTTTTCAGCATCAAAAAATACTTTGGAAATGAAACTTTGCAAGCCAAAGACAAAATCAGTGTCGGATAATATTATTTTTTTGCGCATGGCGGAACATCTTACACAATGTACCCGAATTTGGAGGACTGTATTATCAGGTACTGGATTACTGTATTATGTGATGTGCAGCGGCGGAAATGCAAGCTGAAGGCAGAGAGCCTATATTACATTTATAATACGAGTATGTACGTTTTCGAAGCAATTATTTTAACTTGCATTCACTGACGTAAATCCATCAATTATAACTTCAAATTCTTCAACAGTTAATCGAACTAAAATAATCGATATATAAATTGTAAATATATTTCGTCTCTGTGATCAGATTCCAAAAACTGTAATAAAAGGCTGCATAAGGCCGAAATAGCAACTTTATTCATTTTTCATTCCGTGTTATTCGTGTTCCTCGCGTCGGTATCTTTATAAGGCTAACTTGCAATAATCAACAAGCAGAAGTTTGCTTGCGCACCATCAATTGGCAAATAGTTCTGTTTGTAGTCGTTCGTTTGTTGTGTCGTCTCTCGTGTTTGTCGGCATCCTTTTTTCTGTTCTACATGCATATGCGTGTGCGTGAGCACATATTTCAAGCCGAGAGCTGTCTTTTTTCTCTTTTTGTCTCATTATCTTTTGTTGAGATAATCTTTAACCCTTCTAGCTGATAACACTCCCATCTTTAACCCTTCTAGCTGGAAACTCTCCGATTTTCATGAATCAGAAACTTGTTTCCTCAAGTATATCAATATCTGCTTCTGGATAAAGCGACGCCGATCAGCATTCAAGCTCGGCGCCACGATTTTAGAAAGAGCTGGAGATCAGTATAATACGATGCTCGGTGTATTGTGGAAGTATCGAAAATGACGTCGTGTTTTAATTATTTCTTCGCTGCTCTCTACCTCTTTTATATAGCTGCTTTTTCTACCGCGGTATGTGGTGGGATTGTTTACTTACAAGTGACTTTTTGTGATTTACATAGCCAATTTTCAATTTTATCTCAAACAAGAGACACTATGTTTAAAATTATAATCTGAATGCAGACTAGATTAACTGAGATTGAAGTAAAAAGACTATGGCAAACTTGATTCGTCACCAAAAGTATTAATATTTTATTATTTATAATAATATGTATGGAAATACAAATTTGTAATGCAAAATTTTTAGTCTTATTCTTTTTTTTTTAAATTGATAAAGTAAAAACATTTACTTTACTTTTAAATTAAAAGTTTGATAAAAACAATAATATATACTTTATCAATATGTAATAGTAATATGATACTTAGTAGATGTGATAAATAATCTGATGTTTTGAAATCAGACTCTGATGAAATGGATTATAAAATATTTGACTTGCGCCCATCAATTGCCTGTTATATAAGAATATATGTCTGAAATATAATGTAAATTTACTACTAGATATATCAATCAGATTGCAAAAACGTATAATTAGATGAAGACTGAAAACGTGTGTTATATTTCCTTAAAATTTCTGTCATTTATTCTTAAAATACTTTATTAATTACATTGCTAAAATTTTTTAAAATTATGTGTAAGCTTTTTTCTATGGTAAAGTACACAACATAATTAAAAATAAGTAATTATTATTATAGTCTCGTATATATTGACATAAACAAAAATAATACGATGACAAAGTGCAACATTTATAAATATAGCTAATTTGTATCAATTGTTAAAATTATTTTTTTAAGTAAAATTTAGGTACCTATATACTTTTCGATAAAAATTGAGAAACTATAAGCAATTATCAAAGTATTATTAAACATATCTTATTCACTTACTTAATGTGTAATTTATTGCATTCACTGTAATTAAATTTATTAATTAATTTTAAAGTATATAAGTATATCTTATTCACGATAACAAATCAAAGAAATTTGACATAAATGTTGATCTATTTGGGAATTTCAATAATAAAAATCAAGACTGTTTTTTACATTATATTTACAATTTTTATTATCACAGATTTATAATCCAAGATTAACAACTACAAAACCGCCAGAACGTCGTGAATTAGTACTTCCTTGGCATTCAACTGAGAAAATATCACGTGTTCATCAAACAACATCTCCTTCTCCAATATGGCATCAATTGCGGGATAATATTACATCCAAATCTGGTACAAAGAATTGGAGCCCTTGGCGGAAGACTTCGGGTAGTGAAATTGAACAAAGAACGCAAATTGATATTCCCGAACAGATTTCTAAAAAAGTTCCAGAACAACAGCGTAATTTCAAATTTGATAAATTAGAACAGCAAGAAAGTCTGAAATTTCCTTTTCAGTACGATGATTTTACAGAATCTGACAAAAATTACGGATACTTTAAGAATGAATCAAAATATGGAAATCGGCCTCAAAACGAGATTGATTTTGAACATAAATCATTGAAAAATGATGAGAACAAAAAAATACAGGTAGAATTTGAGAATGAAGATTTGTATGAAGGTGTAGATATTGACAGCACGGTAATTCTTTTTGTATATCTAAACAGAATTATTCATACATTATAATATCGTTTGTATTAGGAGTGTGATTTAGTTTTGAGGATTTTTTTTCTCTAACTAATTTATTTAAACAACATATCACGTAAACTGTTGTACAATCAACATTTAATTCTTTGGTAAGTTCTGACGTGGAATGTGCTGGATTTTCGTCCAATCATGCTTGCAAAACTGCATTTTTCAACTTTTATCACTAATATTGAAATCACCACTTTTGAATTGATATAATCAATATTCACATGTTTTAATTGATGCAGCAACATCATCATAAATTTCTATCAAAGTTCTATGATGCCGTTTCTTCAGTCGCCGTTTTCTTCTGATTAAAAAACAAAAGCAACTCTCGAAAATGCTTTTTAGGAAACTCCATTTTTTAAATGGTATATAAACACGATGTTTACTGCATCTATTGTTATAAATAATTAAATATCATATTTAAGTAGGAGTAATATTAAAGCGTAATATTAAGAAATAATAGCTATGATTGGAATGTCTTCGACAACACTGACATTAATGCTCACTGACATTAATCTCTTGGCAAAATCCTCGAAACTAAACCACACCTAATATAAGTATTCAAGATATTGTGCAAGATATCTATAATAATTTTATTCACAAAATATTTTTACTGAGATACAAAACCTTTATATATTTTTTTATGATTCTTTATACTTCTTTAAATATATAATATGCAAATTTGAAAAATATATAATGTATAATAAACTTTGATGTACAACATTTTTAATAAAAAAAGTTTATAAAACTAAATTTTAGAACTTAAAGTTTTAAGGTTAAAGAGCTTTTAAAAACATTTTTTATTTATTTCAATCTTTATTTTATATATTTGTTCGATATTTGCATTACAATAATATTGATTTTATCTTTTTACATATAGAAACCACGAAAAGGAAATTTACTTCTTTCACGAAAATCGCAAGACAAAATAGCCCGATATAATCCTCGATTAGGTGTTGAATGTCCTGATAACAATTCCACGGGGCAATTTGTTTATCCACCAGATTGCAAATTCTTCGTCAATTGTTGGAAGGGTCGTGCATTTATTCAACCATGTGCTCCAGGCACTCATTTTAATCCTGATACTCTAGAATGTGATTTTCCGCATAAAGTGAAATGCTATGAGGATGAATCTGCGTATTTCAAAGAGTCAGATTCTGTCTTCGAAATTAATCGAAAATCACAGAAGTTGCAAGTGCGTTTTTTTACAATATATTATTATTAATTATAAATTAAAATTTTGTTTTTCAAATTTATTGACTTTGATGATATATTGTGTCTGATTTAAACAAAACATTTATTTTTTAATATACATATTTTTTGATACACATTTCGCATATCGATCATATTTTACCGATTTATTTGGTATTTTACAGGAACCAAAATGTCCACCATATTTAATTGGTCTATTACCACATCATGGAGATTGCACGAAATTTGTACAATGCGCACACGGTGCAACTTATATTATGAGTTGTGGCCCTGGAACAGTATTCAATCCCACTATTGGTATATGTGATTGGCCGCGTAATGTAAAGGGTTGCGAAGGTAACAATAAATGATTAGTTACTGAAAGAAATAATTTGCTTTATCGTAAAAATAATGTGAAATTTTATTTAAATGTATTCTGTTATATATATAGATATTTTTAAATCTGATAAAAAAATACCACTTGCATCTCCAAATTTTAATTTTGAATATGATAGTGCGAAATATATCGAAGCAAAGAAAATTATATGTCCTGCGGATTTCATTGGATTATTGCCTCATCCGGAGACGTGTAAAAAATTCCTTCAATGTGCAAATGGTGTTACTTACGTAATGGACTGTGGTCCTGGAACAGTTTTCAATCCTATTACAACGGTTTGTGATTGGCCATATAACGTACTCACCTGCAAAACAGGTATATTAATTGCATCAAATAATGCAAATTGTTAATTTTAGCAATTTAGCACATTTTTGTTAAAATAACTTGCAATTCTTTAGTAGAAAAGATTACGTCACACAAGGTTACGAAATAACGAAACCTAAAATAAGTAAATCACGTAACGGATTGTTCTAAATCAATACGTAATTTTTTTAAATTATGTAATTTAAAAAATCACATGAGAAATAATTTTATCCATCGCATGTGATTTTATGGTTATCTAATTTTAAAGGATTGTATAATAGAAATAGAATAAAAAAACATGTTATCACATGACTTTTTAAATTATATAATTTAATCGCAGTGCGAAATACGTTAATTAAACGATTATAAATTATTTTTAACGGGGTTTGTTATTAATTAATATTTTTTGAAATATTCTAAAAATAATCATATATTTATAATAAATTCATACTTTTTGAATTATAGATAAATTTGATGATAAGGTACACAGGATGGGAGATAGGACTTGGATTCCACTTGTTGTTTCTACTACATCACGATCAAATCTAAGTCCAACATTTAAACCAACTTGGAAACCATTTACGACATCTTCAAGTCCACTTTGGATATCAACGTGGACAACTCCAAGGCCATTTTATGATCGTTCTGAACATCATGTTATTTATCATGATTATGACCATGCGCATAAAGAAAATCGATATCAAGATTATGGACCACATCATCCAGAATGGAAACCAAGTGATGGAAATTTGAGACAATCCTTTGATAACAATTACGAGTTTCAAGATAGGCAATGGATAGAAAACCATAGAATTGATCAAAATCCACAACCACTTTATCATTCCGATCGTCCAGAAGGATCGTGGTCATACGAACATAGGAATCAAAATCATCGTTATGATCATAGATATTATCCTCCCGGTTATCATTATCATCATCATCATCATCATTATCATAATTATGGACCTACATCAAATCCATCAGTAAATCCAAATTGGAACGCCGGTAATCCTACTACTCTTATTGGTGATCAAAAATATGATCAAGGATACCAAGGATATACTCCAAATGCAGGTGATAGTCATTGGTACTTTGATCGTAATGATTCCAATCATGACGATCATCATTATTTTGAACATGTTGATTCGAATGAAACAGATCAAAGACAACATCAATCATATTTTCCTTCTAAAGAATACAATGAAAATAACAATCAGTTTTCTAATGTACATAACGACAAAACAAAGTTTTCTAACGTTTCTGATTTATTAGATAGTCAAAGGACCGATCATGATTTGCATCCGACTAAGCAAGATTATAATTGGACGATGCCAGGATTATATTATCCTAGTTTCAATCATACTTTTCCTAGTTTCAATCATACATTTGCTGGAAATGTTTTGCAAAATAATAGTAATAATAATAAATTTACTGAAAATTCAAATCAGAATAAATCGCGACAAGATAGATTACCTCGTATTTGGATAGGACAAGAAAATACAACTTGGAATCAGTCAAATGGATCTCTTGCTTTCAACCCGAGTACGTGGCATGATCAACAGAAAGTACAGATGGAAATTCAAACACGTCCGTGGGATCAAGGTAAATAAAAATTAACGTGAACTTGTTTATTATTTTATTAAATCATTAATTTATTTACATATTTTTATATAAAATTATATTTAATTAATATTTTCGTGATTACGATTGTTACGTACAAATATTTCATTTATCCTTGTTTATTATATATTTAGATTAGAGTAATTTTTTAATTAAATTTATTGGATATTTTTATTGAATTTACATATTATTATTTCCAATTAGATTAAAAAATTTGTTAGTACACTGTACAGGTTATAATAATACAAATTAATAATAATGTGCTGTTGCAAACTTTACTGGCAAATATGCCAGTAAATCTGCACGCTGCATGAATTAACTTTGTGAATTGTACATACAATTAAATTGTTATCAGCATGATATCATTGAAATAATACAAATATGCAAATGGTAATATTGCTTCTTAGTTATGATGCAAGAAATATCTAATAATATGCATGCGAAATTATATTGCATGTTGACATGTTTCATGACAAATTAAAAATGTATACAGTAAGATAAGTAAATAAATATATTATATACATTTAAGTATAATAACATATTTATATTAGCGATGTATATTTATATTAGCGATATTCAGAAAGTATCCGGTGTCCGGTATTATCCGATTATCCAATCGGATAGTCGGATAATATTAGTATTAAACCGGAATATATCCGGTTGAAATTTGATCATTATTTTTTTGATGATTATCATTAAATTATTTTTTCTTATACAAATGTGTTCTAGGAATAAATATGAATATTCATGATGCTATAATATTTTTTTCTTTATAAACTTTTTTTTAGGAGATATTTCCTCGATTAATTCGATGTTACATTCTGTCTGAATATTCGATATCAGGTATCCGATAATTTTACGATCCGGTGTATATCTTTAATTTATATAATACATATCAATACTATGGATCAATGTTGTGAATATTATATAAATAATTAATTCTAGACACATATAGCTTCTGAAAAATTTCGAAAACACACTATGGGTCTGGAAGATCCAGTGTAACTTTAATAAATTGTAACTCTGATTTAAATTAATATATTTAAAATCTTTTTTTATTTTAAAGTTTTGAGATTTAGGAACTTACCTGCATAGTAATGCCAAAAAGATTTATATATTTTATATTAACTTATAAAACACGGAACTTTCTCTTCTCTTTTCTTCGTGTGCGGAACAAACGAAACTTCAATTGGATTTGGGAAACCCATATATATATATATATACATATATGTTTAGAGTTAAATTTATAAATCGGATATTATATATTGTACATAAAAAATTCGAAATGTTTGTGTATTTATAGCTTATTATTATTTAAAAAAAAGTATTTTTTTAACATAAAATTTATTATCTAACTAGATATGAATGAGAAAATTTAATATTTTATAGGTATGGCCAATCAAGATGATAAATTTCAACAGCAATTTGACAAAAATATAGATCAGCAAAGCACAATTGATAAAGAAACAAATGCAAAAACCACACAGTCGACATTAAAATCAAATGTCTTGTTAAATTCAAAGAATCAAATAAATTTAGGTTTGTAAGTGGCTTTCTAATTTTTATTCTTTTATTTGCTTGACGGTAATTACATATAATATTAAATACAAATTTATATACATGATATATACGAGACATATATACTGAAATAGCTCAAATACTTAATTTATTTTATATTTTCTCAAAATTATTTAAAAATTATTATACTCTTCAACGCTTTGTAATTTGTAGAATCTACAAATACAACTGAACATCCGAGACCAAACTTTTATCCAAATGGAATATATGTCAATGCAAATGGCATAAAAGGTCATTACATCACAAAAGAAATTGAGGATAATCAGAAGCATTCAAAGAGTCAATTGCATAGTACTCAAAAACCTATCAATTGGAACAACATTTTTAATAGTACATTTATTACGTTATTATATTGAAATATATTAATTGACCGTTTGACTTACACTATTTTTAGGATTAATTTTTTATTTTATATTACTTGCTGATTTTTTTTAATGCTCAATTGTTTTGAATTTATATTATCTTCATATCTTTAATTCTTAATTTTAAAATTTTCTATATACAGGGTGTTCAGCGAGATTTTTGTCATAGAGTGTATGTGTAGATACAGCTAAACTGAGTTGAAAAGTCCTCTATTATTTTGCAATTTTCGCAATAATTAACGAGATATTAATTACTAAAAATTGTTGAAAATTGGTCTTTAATAATTTTTTACTTAAATACTACCAACCTTACAGAAAAACTGCAAGAAACAAAAATTATTTATTTTCTTTTCATAGATCTCTAAGAATTTTTTCAGAATTTTTTAATACCGTATTTTTTCATGTTGATAAAAATAAGAAAATGCAGTATTAAAAAGTTGATAAAAAATTCTGAAAAAATTCTTAGAGTTCTACGAGAAGAAAATAAACAATTTTTGTCTCTTGCAGTTTTTCTGTAAAGTTGATAGTAGATAGAAGATAGTAGATAGAAGATTGAATTAAAAATTATTGAAGACAATTTTTAGCAATTTTTGGTAATTAATATCTCGTTAACTATTACGAAAATTGCAAAATGGTAGAGGACTTTTCGATTTAGTTTAGTTCGCTCTATCTATACGCGTTCTGTGGCGGAAATCTTGCCGAACACTTTATATATACATATATATACATATATGCGCGCGCCTGCGCATGTGTGTGTGTGTTGTAAAATCTGCCTCCCTCCTTTCCCCCCCTCTCTCTCTATCGAAAAAACGAGTAGTAATATATTATTATATATCACTTAATGTAATGTGCATTGGGGACCATTATAAGAGAACTAGTTATTCATTAAAAATTACCATTAGATTGATTGCTTATGCTATAATTTCGTTAATAAGTATAATTATTGTATATTTAAATTTTGCAATTTACATCTAAATGTTTTGTTAAAACTACATATTTTTTCTTTAATAGATTCTGAAAATGATTATACTTTGTTTACGACAACGTTGATGACAACAACAGAGAAAATTTCCAATAAACAACTTGAGTTGTCGAGAAGAGGACGGGAGTTTGAAAATACTGCAAAAGAAAAAGAGTTGCATAATTTTGATAACATAAATGATTTTAATTTATCTAGTGAATTAATTGAACGTGAAGATGATTACTGGAGTGATAACGATACGAAAACAAGTAATGTAAATTTAAGACCTCCAAATATTATAGAATCTAAAATAAATGATTACAACGTGGATGTATTAGACATAAACGTCTGGAAGCCTAGATTGGTTTTCGAAAATAAGACCAAGACAACGACGGCTTCATCAGTCATTATGAAAATCGGTCTAAAAAATACCGATATCGAACTTTTTAATATAGAAACAGCCCCGTTTCAAGAAAGTAAGTTAATGATTTCAAAATTATATAAATTTATGTGTTTTTATCTATAAAATGAATGCTCGCATGTGTGCGTAAAAAATAAAATTTGGTAAGTTATTCTTTAATTGTTTTTTTGCATGGATTTATCCGCTTTTAATTGCTTTCTTGCGCATTGTTATGCCACTCAAAGTATATGCAATAATAAAATAAACTTATTTTATTTTAGATTAAGCTTTTGCAGAGAATATAAAAAATATATCGTTCTTTGTCGCAAAGAATAATATTGCAATGTAAGATTTGTAAGGTGATAATTAAAATCAATACTGTGCTAACTTAAATCTTTCTATTTATTAATCGCTATTTATTAAATGTTTTAAATATTTATAATATGTATTTTATGTGCAACATCTTTTACATAATAATTATTCATGGATATTAGGTAACACTAAAAAGTCAAAATGTAACTTTTTTATTTTTAATATTATATACTTATTTACTATATAAGAATCATTTCTACATTGTATTATTAAATTTATGTATTATATGTCATATTTATTTACATAAATTTGTTTAGCTTAACTTAATTGATTTATCCTTTTGCATGTATTCGCTTTTTGTGCTTTCGCATGATTTTAATTATAACTTTTATAAAAAAAATTAGTATATAAAAATATTTTCGTGTAAATATATATCAAATATACATGACAATATAAATCATATTGTATATTACATCCTATATTGGATTCACGAATAAGTGATAGCTAAATAAATAAATAAAATATAAGTAAATAAAACATTTATTATTAATTAATTTTAATTAATAACAATTTATATTAATAATAATTAATTTTATTGTAGAAGAACCGTCATTCCCAGTTTATTACGTGCCGCCAGTGCATCCATTAACTTATTCAAAAAAGTCCGTTCGACTAACGCCTATATCTGGTCAGGTGAGAACATTTACATAAAGATAAATTAAAAAAATTTAATCTTAATTATAATAATAAAAAAACATTTTATTTAATATATCAATAGATTATTCGTTTGAGAGGCGGTTCTGGGCCGAGCAATGGTTATGTTGAAGTACAAGGTGTGCTGCCTGGTTGGGGTATTGTATGCGATTCTAGAAATAGTTGGACTTTAAAAGAAGCTCATATTTTATGTAGACAACTCGGATATAGTAGGTATGTTAAACGAAAATTATTCTATTTAAAAAATTATGTTAAAACTATTTTGTAAATTTATATATGTATTATTACACATTAGCTACATACATAAGTATCTACAATATCATTAAATGGCTGTAAAGACATTTAATGACATAGTAGCTTTGTATATCTAAATAGATTTCTTATCTAGATATAATAACATTGTTTAACAAAAAAATCAGAACGAAATATCATATCTCTTTGGTTTTTGTGGACGTTGAATATGAATCTAAATTCTATTATACTTATACAATACAGACTTCCAAGGAATGTTCTAGAGATATATAAAACGTCTCTATGTTCCTTAATGTCATTCCCAGTTGTCTCTCAGAAAAGTGTGCTGTATGGGCTGATTGTTCCATCACATCACAATTTTGAGAAATTCGTGTAGTTGCAAAAAAGGGCAATTTTTATATTTTGTCATATTAACTACGATATATGACGTACAGAAAAAATTATATTACAATTCAATAATAACGGTTCAAATAATTAAATAAATTAAACAATACAATATAGGGCTAAGAATCTCTCAGAATATTATGTGAGTAATAGTATTATTATAAACAATTTAAAAATTCATATAGACGTTTCGACCCCTATCTGATCATTTTCAATGTTCAATAATAAATTGAAAAAGTTACCGGTACAACGCAAGATGTTAAACCATTAAATTATGATAAGCACATGTTATCTCGCACATTGGCAAGTGGAGTAATTGCAGGTAAAGGTCAAGGTACAAAGCAGCATGACCATCGGAACTTGATGTTAGTCGAATTCAAACGTCACCTAATAATTGCATGGCATATGGTATAATCATATAGTAAATTTTTATTAATATTACATCAGGTTGATACAATGAATTTGAAAGTAGAATAAATGTAAAAATAATTCATTTCTTTTACAACTATAATTAATAAAAATATTGCATCACTAATAACATAATATTATCATTAATGATGTCAATAATTATTGTAATATTATATCATTATATTATATATTACATAAATCAAAAGTCAATTGTTAAAAGTTACACAAAAAATAACAAGTAAATACTTGCAAATTAATGTTAGATCGTCTAAATTAATTAAAAACTTAAGTACAATATCTAATTATAAAATTCAAAAATATCAAACTTAATACTGTAGGACTCTGAGATGTAATGCTAGAACATTCGATAGCTGAAATAATCATCTAACAAAGGAAGTGGTAACAAAAATGATGTAGGTAGGAAACTAGGAAGGAAAATTCAACGATATAGAAAGGGATTGTAAGAGGGATAGATATACGTTAGGCAGAGGATATATTAAAATTAAATAAGACTTTCAATCCTCAAAAGTTTTTTTAGTGTTGGCTATAGTTAATAAGACATTCATGACATTAAATGTTTATTGCGAAAAACTGAATTAGATCATTATTAACGATTTACTAAATTCCTTTTAATTGTTTAGTTAAAACATTATGTTTTTTAGACCACTAAATACAAATTCAATGTCAAAATGAACAAATTCAAAGCCATAGAAGATATCTATACATTTTGCAACAATTTGAACATTTCTAAAGTTTTTATATCTGTCATATCTATTATTTTAATTTTGACATCGAATTCGTTTTCAACGACCTAAAAGATTCTTATATTTAAATATATAGATAATTATAGTTCCACTCAGCCTACTTGTCAAGTGTACGTCCATTGCTATATTGTTAGAAATATAATCAGAGCGGACTAAACTAAGTTGAAAAGTCCTCTACCATTTTGCAATTTCTACAATTTTTTTTTAGTTATTCAATGAGCAGAATGTCCAAAATTCATAGATAAAACAACTTTAAGAATTCTTTAAAAAAAACATCAATTATTGAAGATATTTCATAAAGAACTCTGAAAGAAGCGCTCATGTGTGGATAGAGCAGAAAAACTGAGTGGAAAAATCTTCTATCATTTTACAATTTTTGCAATAGTCAACGAGATGTTAATTTCCAAAGATTGTCGAATAAGTGAATAAAATATATGCATAAGACAACTTTAAGATTTCTTAAAGGACTTTTCTACTCAGTTTTTCCGCTCTATCCACACATGAGCGCTTTGTTAAAACTTACCGGACATCCTGTATATTTTGTATTTTGACGTTTTTATCATAAATTTTCATTATTTGGGATGATGATATAAAATGATTGACAACGGGAAACGTAATATTCTACAAACTATTGTATTTTATTTATTATAGAGGCGCAGAAATGGCTTGGCAAGGCAGAAACAATCGTAATAATATGCCAACTTGGATCGCTGCAAATAGTGTAACATGTCTCGGCAATGAAACAAGATTTCAATCATGCAAGTAAGACATGAGCTATCAGAGATTTAGAAATATTCCTTTTATTGAATAAAGATGGTCATTAAAATCTAGATTTGATAATATTTGTGAGGCTTCCACGAGTGCTTTTTATATAAAGAGTATGCGTTTCGCGGGTTTTCTCCGTGTCCAGATTCATTTTTAGAATGCCAACGTTTCGTGAACCTTGCAGTCCATTTCATCATATATGGTATCAGGCTGCGTTTTGCCCTGATGGAATGGACTGCAAGATTCACGAAACGTTGGCATTCTAAAAATGAATCTGGTCACGGAGAAAACCTGCGAAACGCATACTCTTTATATAAAATCTAGATTTCTTATGCACATAACAATAGGAAAATATTTGTAATTAATACTTTGTGTTTTTGTTAAGTTTATGGCTATCTTTCATTTGCAATGTTTTTTGTCGACGCAAATTGTAATAAAAATTGTTACTTTAAAATTTATCGTGGTAATCATAATAATTTAGATTCACACATAATCAAGAGTGCCGTATAGATAGAGATGCAATTGGTGTGCGATGTACTCCTAATCGTATCGCACATTGTTACAAGGACGAAGTACCACATGATGGTCAATGCTATCACTTAGCTGATCCTGATAGTGGATTTAATCATGATGAAGCATTGGAATACTGCAAACGAAGGAATGCACGACTCATTGATATTACTAATCAGGCGGAAAATAACTTTGTTTCGGAATGGCTATTGCAATCGTATCCGGAAGTTAGCTCAATTATGACGTCTGGTTTCGGTTTTACTAGCATGGGTCGCACCTTATGGATCTGGGCGGATTCTGCTCATGCCAAATTTAAGTATGATTTTTAGAATACCTATAACTTCTATTTAAGTTATTACAAAATGTTAAATTCATTTTTTTATTATTAATATTTATATCTTTGTATTTTTTATTTATATAATAAAACATATTACTAATATTCTTTTGTCTTTCTATCAAACTAATTATAACTTTTTTGAATGAAAAATTTATTTGCACCCTGTTAAAAATAAATAAATTAAAAAGGATTACGTCTTATTATATTTTTGAATTTTTTGTTTGTAAACATTTTGTTAGATTTACAAAATGGTGGCCTGGATGGATGAACGATACGGAACAACCACCATGGGTAGGATCTCGTCCTCTTTGTATTGTGATGAAGCGGAAATTTTCGTGTCATGAACGACCTGAATCGATTTGTGATACAGATTACTTCTTCTGGGACATTGAAGACTGTGCAACTACTTCGAAAGGGCATTCTTTTATTTGCAAAAGGCCTTATGATGATATTGGTATTATAAAAGAATTATTGAATATGTAAACAATATATAATAATATATAGATATAAAATATAGATGTATACGAGAAATTAAACTACAAATAAGCCGCGAGAAATTATTTTTAATATCTTTTGTCTCTTATACTATAAAAATAATGTTGCTATGCTTTATCGAATTTTACTTAATTTGATTTAAAATATACAAAAATGTGATATAAAGTAATGCATGAATTTGTAATATATATCTACTATGACAAATATCTTAAATACTAAAAGGCAATTTTCAAACTTATTTATTTATTTAGGTTGCGTTTATGGGAAAGGAAATCAATATACTGGCAAAGCCAATGTAACAATATCAGGAAATGAATGTCTTTCGTGGGCCGATAAAAGAATAGTACATCAATTACGTATAAATGTAGATATGCCTTTATATGTATATACATTAAAAAATGTTTGCCATTAAATCAAAGAATAACTTAATTTTTATCATTAGGTTGTTAATAAAGAAATTCGAGACAGATTGGAAATGCATAACTATTGCAGAAATCCTAATCCAATAAAAGAATCGAGACCGTGGTGCTTTATAGGAACCGGAAACCGTGAATATTGCGACATTCCTGCCTGTGGAAATATTGGTATCTATTTGACTAAAATATATCAGTAGATACCGAATCTTTTCAATAAAGTTGTGAAAAAAGGGATAAAAATAAAGATTGTAATACTATATAAAATTAATTATTTTTTTTTCTTTAGATTCAAAACGATCTATGTTGACTGGTCAATGCAAACCTAAACATTTTGAATGTACGCCAGGAGAGTGCATCCCATCTCCATGGGTTTGTGATGGAGAGGAGGTGAGATATAGAATAGAATATATTTATTCATTTCAGCATATATATAGTCAAGAATGGGACTTAGTTCACCATTTTTTTACTTTAATCTCGCTCATCTCCTTCTATATCTTCTACACGCACTTTATATTTACCTATTAAAATTAAAATTATCTGATCTTTAAATCCGCTCTACATAGTTTTTCCTCTTCCCTAACTTGTCTACTCAACTAACCAAATGTAAGTTTGTTGACACGTTGCCAATTATTAAACTATGTTTATAAAACTTCTACGTTAAAAAAAAGAATCTTAACTTTTTAATGAACTTATCATTGTGTTTACTTTATTTAAGTAAAGATTAATGATATAATTATTATAACATTTAATGTAATGTTATTTAGGATTGTACAAATGGAGCTGACGAAAGAAAATGTATATTGGATCTGAATCTCTTTGAAAAATCTACAAAACATAAACTTGAAGGCTACGATGTCGAGAAATGGTTGAATACACCTTTAAAAACCTGTGCATTAAGATGCAAGGAAGCTGATTTTACTTGTCGCTCATTTAACCATAAGTTTGTTTGAAAGCTATTTTTATTTACTAAGTTATTTAATTTATATTTAATTATTGATTTATAACAATACATCTCATGAGAAGCGATATTAAGAAAAAGAAAATTTTATTACCTAAATATTAAATTAGCAAATTTATTTAATTAACATTTATTTAAAGTGATAAATAATAATAAAAAATATTAGTAGTATATCTAGCATATTTTATAAAAGTTATTTATACAAGATATGTAATTTATATAAAGTGTGACTAAGGGAGGTTAAACATCTGGAATGAAATTCCTCAAAACATGAAAAATATATTTATATATATAAATTTATATAAAATTTATGTAAATGTATATCCGCAAACCCTCGCTGTTACTAAGATACAGCTTAAACAAAAGTTTATTAATGGAAAATGAAAAATTAATATTTATTATTAGATATACATATTTAATATTATTTATTTTCAAATTTTAATTACAACGAATGTTCAAAGTATCTTTAATTTTATTTAATACACGAATATGTCATGAACAATAATATAAATATTTGAGCTGTATCTCAGTAACAACAGGTTTGCGGATATATAAACTTTGTTTCGCTCTCAAAGTTTGTCCTCTTATTTCAGTTACATTCTGTATAATCGCTGCGTAAAAACAAAATGACTTTTTTCGTAACAACTATATTGTGATCATTGAGATTAATTATTTTCTTTTTATGATGTACAGTTGTTTACAAAGATATGATATTCTGTTTTAGATTGAATGGTAACGTGTGTTTATTGAGTAACAGTAACATCGGTTTAACTGGTGCACTCAAACCTGACAAAGAGTTCGATTATTATGAAATGAGAGAGAGAAGTGTGAACTGTGATGGCATGTATATTTGCAATAATCGTAAGTGTATAAATCAAACAAAAGTCTGCGACGGCAAAAATGATTGCAATGATCGCAGCGATGAAAATATCTGCACAGCTGAAAATTTTGATTACGGTATTCGCTTAGCTGGTGCAAATAATAGTCATGAAGGTCGAATAGAAGTCAAAAGTAAGTATTATATCCTTGATAAAAAAATCAGCAATTTATTATTTAGAGAGACCAGATCCGATCATGTTGATATCTATAACATATTTTGTTAAGGCCATGATCTCCAATAGATTTCAGTTGGCGCTCATTGTTTGTTTATACAACAATTCTGAAAAATTATATGAAAAGACATAAAAAAATTTTTTACCAGAGACAAATTGCAAGAATACATGAAAAGTACTCATGTAAACAAATTGCATAAAAAGTAAAGTATATAATGTAGCATATTTTAACGTATTATAACAAAGACTTTATTATTTTTATTAGTTTAAATGCTCCCTTTTAATTATGTCACATACATTTAAATCTATTTTTTTAACAATTTATTTTCATATTTCATATTTTTTTCTATAAGAGAGTAATTATACGATATGTAAAAATAAAATCTACGTATATTTTTTTTACAAAAAGATTGCAAAAAAAGGGTGAAATAAAGTTAAGTTTAAATGTTTCCGGATCAAAATAGAAAAAATTAAAAGAATTATTGAAGAAACAAGGCAATTATTGTTTTTTAATATAACCTCCTTTAAGTTCAATACCCTTTGGTATATTTTTATGTACTTAAAAAATAATAGTAGTCGCCCGGGAAAAAAATTATCCATATATGTATAATATAATCATATATAAATATATATAATTGTGTAAAATTACATGTAATTGTACGTAATTACACATATAAAAAAAAAATATATATATATAATTATATAACTATTTATATTTATATATGAAAATTTTGTCCCGGCTTGGAGCTAAATCTAGATTGTAAGGCCGAGCGATTACTATTTGCTCACTAAATTGAAATCAGACTTGCGAGGGAGGCGATTTCATACCGACGAAGAACTTTAAATGACCGTCGAGACTCATTTTGAGACTAAGGATAACAGTTTTTTTTTTAAATATGGAGATATACCAAGTATATTGAACTTAAGAGAGATGATATTGAAAAACAATTATCGCCGTTTTTTTCTTTTAACGTTTCTTCTATTTCGGACCGAAAACTGATGTATTTTAGTAGCAAAGTGGTTTCTCTCTCTCTCTCTCTCTCTCTCTCTCTTACATTTTTTCTTTTATTTTATAATTTTACTCAATGTCCATATTGTTGGATAGTTCTAGGACATTGGGGCCAGGTATGTGATGACGGCTTTGGTATGATCAATGCTGATGTTATTTGCAAAGAGCTTGGTTTCGATCTTGGAGCTTTGGAAGTTAGACCGGGTGGATTTTACGGAAATCTCGATCCACCCACGAGATTTATGGTAGATCAATTGAAGTGTCGTGGAAACGAAACTACATTACGCGAATGCGATTTTAACGGGTAAAAATTGACGTTATGTTTTATTTATTCTAATGTTGACAATTGATTGCTACGTCGCGTCGTATGTACATTGCTTATAATAATTCAATTAAAATTGGCACGATGTAACTGAATTATTTATACATATATTTTTATTTCTAGATGGGGAGTTCATAATTGTCAACCGGAAGAGGCTGTTGGGATCGCATGTAAGACCGCAGTCAATACTTGTCAGGAAGGTTATTGGAAATGTGATAATAGTCCAACTTGCATACCGACTCCTTTCATTTGCGATGAGGTGGTCGATTGTCCAGATCACTCCGATGAAAGTTCAGAATATTGCAATGTAAGAAAGTTGGAAGAAAAGTAGAAATATATTTGCATATCTTTTATTATCTGTGGTTTTAGGCACCATTTGAATTGCGCTTGGCGAATGGTAGCAATTCTTTGCAAGGAAGAGTAGAAGTGCGTCATCACGGCGTGTGGGGTACCGTGTGCGATGATGACTTTACAAATGCTACGGCAGTAGTCATTTGTAGATCTTTAGGATACGGTGGTATCGCAGTAGCTAAGAAAAACGGTTTCTTCGGGCCTGGCCAAGGACCAATATGGCTCGATGAGGTATTACATTTGTGGCATAAAATATTTTGATTTCTAGCAAAAAGAAATTTGTTAATTTAAAAATTTTTTTCATCTCACTTTATTTTCTATTTCCTTAGATATACATATTTAATATATTTCCAATATACATATTTTAAGCATATCATGATAATTAATTTAATGAAGAAGATAATGATATAAATAATAATATAAAAATATATAGTATTACTTACTGTGTGTGTCTTGTTTTATTAATATTCTAAGACAAGTTTTTTAATTTTTACAAAAAAGGTTTTCTGTCATGGAAACGAATCGCAATTATATCGATGTGAGCATAATCACTGGGGTCAACATAATTGCGATCATAATGAAGACGCAGGTGTAATTTGTTCACCTGGAGATGTTAACGATGCCGAAGTAAATAAAACAAATAATTATTATATCTTAATTTATTTTATTATATTTTTTTAGTTTAAAAGCTATTTTATCTGTTAATTAGATTACGTATTGAACAATAATATTAAAATTTAACATATTTATAGAGAAGTATATGTAAATTGCTTAATTATTTAAATTAATATTTGAATTTATTTAATATACAATAAAATATAACATAACGATATACTTAATATATACACAGTATATAAATACTTGACATAAGTTGTAATGATTGCATTTATTAAAACAAAGTAGACAAAATTTCATAATTTTAATATGATTTGCTGTTTATTTCTTAATTTTACTTTTATTAAGCAGTCATACTGGATAAACAGCCAAGAACATTCGGAACAAAACATTAACGAGCTGCTTCCATCAAATTGTGGCCAACGTGCTAAAGATTTCGATAGCGATGAAGATTTAATATTTCAGAAAGTAGTACATGGCTCCATTGCACCAAAAGGCACTTATCCTTGGCAGGTAAATTATTTTTAAAAGAAACATTATTGGAATTTTTACAGTAACTAATGAAGAATTATCATCATTTTATATTCATTATATTAAAATAAATATTGCGTCAGATGTACAGCGAGATTGATGATACAAGAGATTGTTAAATAATATTTAGGCTAGTATTCGAGTTCGAGGGCATAGTCGATCAAATCATTGGTGCGGTGCTGTTATTATATCGCCTCTACACGTGTTAACAGCAGCACACTGTCTAGAAGGTTACAACAAAGGCACATATTTTGTTCGTGCGGGTGATTATAACACGGATGTAAGTGAACGTAATTATTATCTAATGAAATTATCATTAAATCCCCAAGAACATTTACTACATCTCGGTAAAAAGTTTTTCATACTTGAATATGTACAAATATGTAAGAATATATAGAGGAAAGGCCCCTATTATGAGATACCGAGTTCATTTTGAACAAATGTTAGAAGTTCTATAAGTAGAATTAAAAAATATAGATAATAATAGATCATTTTGAAGGGAATTTAATAAGCTTTAAGATAACGTTATTTAAAATTTAATTTTTTTCCAAATTCCATTTTTTTTTTTAATTAAAGAAGTGTAGAAAGTAAGCAAAAATCGTAAAGTCAAAAAATTGTACTCCTAATATGAGATGCCCTGAGAAATCGATAGTAAAACGTATATCAGTATATTGTAACTAAAAAACTTTTTTTAATGTTTCTTAAATACAAACAAACACAGCCAGGATACGCGAACAATGAGTATGTGATACATTATACCCAGAACTCGTCTTCAGATAGTTGAAATCAAGCATCGCAGAAATAAGCACTCGACGTTCATTCTGATTGTCCTTTTTATTATTATATAATAACATTTATACTTTAGCAATGATTTTCACTATGATATCGGAGCATATTAGAAATACCTTGGATACCTTATATTACGATTTCCACGCCTTATGGTTTTACGATCATTAAATCTAATTTCTATAATTAAGCAATTCAACATATCCCGTATTTTTCTATTAGTACGACCTTACTCAACACTACATGAAGAATTTATTGCCAAATATTTATTTATTAAATAATAAACAATGTTTAAAGGCTCATCTCAATGAAACTTGAAGACATCCAAATTCTAAAATCTTTTTTTACAATGACTACATGCATGATTTAATAATGAATTTTCTACTAAATAGTATTCAATCCAAGAGCAATAAATTCATGGTAAAACCATATACCAATAGATAGCGCCTATTAGTTTAGCAGAAACGCCGCTATCTCATATTAGGCGTCTATCTCATAATAGGGGACTTTCCTCTATGGATATGAA